AAAAAAAAAAAAAAAAAGAAGCCAAGTACTCTCCATCAGGACAATAGGAAAGACTCCTTGATGTTATCTCAGAAATATACTAAACCACACCCTTCGAGGGCTCAAGGGTATAAAAGAGTAAACTCCTTTGAAAGCCTCTGCTTAGAGAAAAGAGCCCTAGGGTGCCCTGTTCATTCAGACCCTCTTGGGGAAGTGAACCTATGTTCCATCAGAGGCCATGTGATGGTCCAGGGGGGCCAGGCTACTCCTGCTCAACCTGGTGGCACACCTTGGTACTCATTTTTCGAGGATGCAGAATACAAGAGTTATCAGGTCATGGAGGGCTCCACTCAGATTTCAGAGGAAGGCCTGGGAGGTCAGGCAGCGTGCCCTGAGAGGATGCTGTGTGAAACTGTAAGAGTGAAGCCAACGGTGCAGTGGAGACCCCAGGAAATTGGAGATGCTCAAAGCTGAGTTTGCCTTGAGTCTCAGAGGAGTCTTTGGAGCTGGACTTTTCAGCAGTGCTGGAACTGTTAAGATTTTGGCAACTCAGGGCTGGGGATTTAGCTCAGTGGTTTTGCCGCCTACTGCGCAAGCGCAAGGACCAGAGTTCGATCCCCGGTAACAACAACAAAAAAATGTCAGTTTTAAAAGATTTTGGCAACTCAGAGTGACTGTAGCATTTGCATAACGAAATGGATATGAGCTTTTTTTTTTGGTACCAGGGATCCACCTTGGGACCTTGCACTTACAAGGCAGGCGGCGGAACCATTGAGCTAAATCGCTGGCCCTGGATATGAGCTTTTGGGGTGGAATGTATGGTTTGGATCTAAAATATCCCCCCTAAAGTCTCATGTGTTCAGGGGTGAAACTTTTGAAAGGTGATTGGGTTGGAGGGTGCTATGGGGGATCCATCCATCCAGAGTTCATAGCTGAATGTGCTGTTGGGAGGCGGGGCCTGGCTGGAAGAGGTGGTCACAGGGGTGTGTCTTGGAAGTGTGTATTCTTGTTCTGAGCTCTTCCTGTCTCTCTGCTTCCTGGCTGCCATGAGGTGAGCAGCTTTCTTCTGCCAGGCCCATCTGCTATGACATTTTCATCTAGGAGCCATCTGAACATAGACTGAATCCCCTGAACTGTGAGGCAATTAAACCTCTCCTCCTCTAAGTTGAACCATGAGCCAGATTAAAGCTGTTCTTTAAGTCATGGATGTTGGGTGTTCTGTGGTGAATATAGCTAGTTTGAATAACCTGGGTGGAATTTGGACTATGATAGTGATTTCTAGTTGCCTGGCACCTGGAATGATTCTTACAGCAGGATATTGCCTCCTGGTTATTGGTCTTTTATCCTACAACTTTGTTGAGTTCATTAATTAGTTCTAGGAGGGTTTTTATTTTTGTGGTTACCTTGGAATCTTCTATTTAAACCTACTGTTATTTGCATATAGGCCTGGGAGGGTGTGGAGGAAGTCTAGCCTTCTCATTCTTTTCCAACCTCACAGTGGGGAAGGCGAGCTCCCTGGGGCACCCTTTATGTATGTATGTATGTATGTATGTATGTATGTATGTATGTATGTACCGGGGATCAAACTTAGGACCTTGTGCTTGTGAGACAGGTACCAGAACCACTGAGCTAAATCCCCAGCCCTGGGGGACCCTATTTTTAAAAGCTTAGTATTTATTGAGCCCCTACTCCCACTTCTTTAGAACATCTGATTTGTGGCATGGGTTCTGTGGGCTGAGGTTGGTTCTGACTTCTGTGCACTCACATTTATAGTCACGTAGTGTGAAGGGCACTTTCGCTGAGAAGTTAGGACAGAGGGGTGGGAGTAGCTCCTTTCATCTCTGACCAGTGCACATGTCTCAGCCCGTGGATGAGCTGTAGCTTCTGTCACCAGCTGCATCCTTCTATTTGTTACTAATAGGAACCTGTATATTCACAGGAAATGTGGTTGCATATGAGACCAAGGTTATTTTCCTTTTCCTGTCCTTCTCCTTCTCCCTTTCCCTTTCCCTCTTGTCTCCTTCTGTCCCTTCTTCTTTTCTTGCATCTTTTTTCTTGTGGAATTGGGGATTGAATCTAGGACCTTCACACTGAGCTACATCCCCAGCCCATTTTTATTTTTTGAGACAGGGTCTTGCTAAGTTGCCCAGACTGGTCTTGAGTTTGTCAGCCTCCAGAGTATTGGGATTATAGGCCTGTGCCACTATACCTGGTTCAATTTTTTCTTTTTAAAGAAATACACATTGGAGCTGGGTGGTGGCACTTGCCTTTAATACCAGCACTCAAGAGGCTGAGGAAGGAAGATAGGTGTAAGTTGGAGGTCAGCTTGGCCACATAGTGAGTTCAAGGCCAGCCTGAACTACACAGCAAGACCCTGTCTCAATAAAACAAACAGAAATAGGCATCGGATTTTATGGTGCCTTCTTTCTTTTTTTTTTTTCTGTGCTGGGGATCGAACTCGGGTCCTTGCACTTGCAAGGCAGGTGGTGAAACCACTGAGCTAAATCCCCTGCCCGCATCAGATTTTATAATGTTGATCACTGAGTAGAAGTCAGTACTTAATCTTATTTTAACTTATTCTTACTTTTCAGGATATTCTTATTTTGAATAAATTTAGAATAATTTACTAATATGCATGGTAACTTATTCTGAAGTGTTGAGTAACTAGTCTGGTAGAAGATACTGATGTGACAGCTGTTCTTACCCATCCCTCTGAGCAGAGTGGTGCTGAGTGTCTCTCTCTCCTTTGCAGGTCGTGCTGGGCGGGTGTCTAAAGGGTACTGTTACAGACTGGTGCCTCGGGACTTCTGGGACACGTGCATCCCTGATCATGTCAAACCGGAGATGCTGGTAATGTGCTTCAGGCATTGCAAAGTTAGTCTTTTATAGAAAAGTGATTTTCTGAACAGTTTACTATAACTTTAATGTCACATAATTTTGATCCCCAAAAGCTCACTGACTGCGCTTGTCTGTGGTCACAGAACTAACTCACCACTTACTAAGCACTAGGCGCTTTCCCCTCTCCTGTTCTTGTTGTTGGTTTTTTTTGTTTGGCACAGGGATCAACTAGGGTCTTTGTGCTTGCGCAGCAGGTGGTGAAACCACTGAGCTAATCCCCGGGCCCCCCCTCACATTCTTAATGAGAAGAATGTTTTCTGGTAGCTGCTGACTTTACGAGAGCATTATCCTTAAGTACTGCTGTTTTCTGTTACCTTTTGTAGTGAATAATTGTGGATCCACTTTTTTCTTTCTTCTTTGTCTTTCCTCTCTCCTCCCTCTTTCTCTTTCTTGCCCATTTCTCTTGTCTTCCTATTTTTCCTTCTTTCACTTCCTATCTTTGTCTCTTTCTCCTCTCTTCTCCTCTCTCACCTTTCTGTTTTTTTTTTCTTTGCTTCTCCTCTTATTTCTCGCTCTAGAACACCAGTCATGTGAATAGGCTAATTTCGTTCTCTTCTTGTCTCTAAACTCGTTTTGTTCTCCTCAGCGCTGTCCACTAGGAAGCACAATATTGAAAGTGAAGTTACTTGACATGGGTGAACCGAGAGCTCTGCTGGCAACTGCCCTTTCTCCACCTAGTCTGAGTGACATTGAGCGCACCATCCTTCTACTGAAGGAGGTAGGGCTGTGTGGAATTCATTAATGGTGGAAAAAGCCAAGATTTTTTTTTAGTAGGGGAACCTAAATTTCACAATCTTTTTTTTTTTTTTTTTTTTGGTACTGGGGATTGAACTCAGATCCTTGCAGTTGCAAGGGAGGCGGCAGAACCACTGAGCTAAATCCCCGGCCCCTAAATTTCACAATCTTTTAGGTGTTTTGACTGTTGTAAATGGTCAGCATGTGCTTGTAAAAGCCTCTGCTCACTGAGGGGTGACTTCCGGTCCCACGCCTGTTGTTCAGAGCAGCCCTGTGGCGGGTCTTGCCAAGGTGCACCCTCTCCTCCTTTACCTTGCCCTTGCATCCCCAGTGCCTCTTGCCTGATGCGCTCTGGTCTTCTGTTGCCCGTCAGTTTGTTCCTCACTCTCCCCTAGTCCACTCCTCCCCTTTGTCCTTGCTCTCTGCCCATTACTGGAGCCCTGCTCTTCCACTTTGGACTCCATGGCCCACTCCTGACTCATGCGCGGCTCTTCCAGTGTGCGGTCCTGGCCTTTGGACTGGCTGGGTCCTAGTCCGCACACCGCTGGGGCTGTGGGTATTCTGCTTCTGACCCTTGAAGCTGGGGATGCTACTGGTGCCTTATCCTCAGATGTGATACCTGCTTCTGTGAAATACACTTTGTCAAGTTAAGGAAAGTTTTTTCTTCCCTCATACATAGTTTAAATTTTTATGATGAGTGACTGTGTGCTACGGTTGTTGGGTCATTTATTTATTACTGTGCATTCTGTATTTGTTAATTTGTGAGCTAAGTAGACATTTGTGAACCTCTTGTTACCTCCCAATGTCATACTTTTACAAAATAGTAAAACAGTAAAAGTTTGAAGAACAAATTTAAAATATTTTTGTGGTATCATCAACCTTGCATGAATTGACTTAGGTGTCTTTTAGAACATTAGTCGCCAAAATTTGGTCTTTATTTCCTGCTTTGCACTCTCTGCCGTAAGGATGAAAAGGGTGTGCATGAATCAGTACTCGGTAATAGCGCTGATTTATTTTATAAAGGTGGGCGCACTTGCGGTTAGTGGGCAGAGAGAAGACGAAAGCCCCCATGATGGCGAGTTGACCTTCCTGGGAAGAGTGTTAGCCCAGCTCCCAGTCAGTCAGCAGCTGGGTAAACTCATAGTGCTGGGACATGTGTTTGGATGCCTGGATGAATGTCTCATCATCGGTAAGTGTGAGGACGGGTGGCCCTAAGGAGCTCATGGAGCCACCGTCTAACATCTCCCTTCTCTGTGTTTTCTGTTAGCAGCTGGACTTTCGTTGAAGAATTTTTTTGCGATGCCTTTTCGGCAGCATCTTGATGGATATAGGTATTTAACATTTGTGTCGTAAGGCTCACCTCATCTGGCTGCTGGCCTTGAGACTTCTGTTATCTGTTTGCAGGAACAAAGTGAACTTCTCTGGCAGCAGTAACAGTGACCCCCTTGCGCTTGTGGAGGCGTTTAAGGTGAGTGCCTGCACCACCTGCGGTGGCCGCCACAGGTTGCAGGGCGTCCGCATCCCCTGGCAGGAGCGGAGGGATGTGTAGGGTCACTGACGTCCATTGTTAACTAACAAACTACTGGAAGAAGAGCTGGGTGGGGATGGGGGCCAATTTCATGAAATTGGTTGAAAACATTAAATCAGTACATTTTCCTGATCATTGTGTTGAAATTGGAACCTTAAATTTTAATCAGTAAATTGTTTTGAAACTGTAGTCATTTACTTTTAGATGTGGCAGGCTTGTCGACAGCGGGGAGAGCTGCGGCATCCCAAGGTTGGTCACGTTTCCTTTCTGTTTCCTTGTGGACAGCTGCAAGAATCAGACTGCCTGCGAGTCTCTCTCAGCTCCGTCACTGTGTTTGCCTCTGTGGCACTAAGGCCTGAACGGCTGTCACTGTAGACAGTTGTCATGAGCTGTCTGCAGCTGGCAGGCCGTGATCTTCTTGCTGTGTCTTTGGCAGTGCTGCTTACCCACAGCTCCCCCTTGCCCACTGACCTGGCTGTGGGTGGTGGGCTAGTGTGTGTTGGTTCAGAATGAAGAACCCTGTAGCCTTTGCTCTTTTTAATTTACAAGGAATTTAGCCCAGTAGTCTCCATTTCTTTCTTTCTTTTTTTTTTTTTTTTTTGTCAAATTTGTTCTCTACCTAACTGATTAGGCTCCAAAGACTGTGGCTAGATCTGTCTGTGTGTAGGTTTGCTGCATCTGGTAGGTCTCTACCAAGGAGTCTGTAAGCTGCCCTGTGAAGAGGCCCGTTAGCCTGGTGTTGTAGCACACGCCTGTATCCCAGCTACTTGGGAAGATGAGGCAGGAGGCAAGTTAAAGGCCAACCTGGCTGATTTAGCAAGATACTGCCAAAAAAAGCTGGAGATGTAGCTGAGTGCTACAGCACTGCCAGAGCATTTGCCCAGGTAGCATGTTTGAGGGCCTGGATTCCATCCTGAGTACCACATTAAAAGCAAAACGAAACAGCTGCTGTGTTTCAAACACTCAGCTATCATATCTTCCTTGTTGGTATGCCACCTGTCTCATGTTTTTACCAGCCCAGTCAAGTTGTGTCTGCTTTTAATTTTGGGACAGGTAAACTCTTAAGAAGAGCTGTCCCTGTAAGCGTTTGAGGTTGGGGCCTGTGTATTCTGGCTTCAGTGTGAATTAGAAGCACCTGGAGAGTGTGTAGGTGTTCACTCCAGGGCACTATTCAATGGCATTATTTTACATTTATCTCGATTTTGGATGAGACGCATGTACAAAGTAGGCAGATGAAACTCTAATGTATTACCTTGACTTTGAATGTTATGCTTTGATGTATTTAAAGGATGAACTTGACTGGGGACGGCTAAATTACATTCAAATCAAGAGAATTAGAGAGGTAAGTTACAAATTCTTTGATTAAATGGGGTAAATAAAACTGATTTATCAGATCAAGCTCCAGCAATGCACAGGGCTGTAATGAGCATGCCTCTTCTAGCAGGAGTGCCAGTATCTTCACCTGAAGCATGGCACCTGCTTGTGTCCCCAAAAGTACCTTTTTCAGGTGAAGCCCCCCATGGTTTAGCAGGGAATGGGTGTGTTACCTTGTCAGATACCTCTTGTGTATCAAGATAAGCAAGTGGTCTTTTCACTGTTAATTGCATGCATTATGGGTTTCTTGCTGTTGATCTTGCCTTGGGTTCTTGGAATGAACCTCTGTGATTGTAATATTTTCTCTCACAGCACTGCTGGGTTTTGACTGCCAGTGTTTCCTCTAGAATTTCTGCAAGTGTAGCATAAGTGGAACTGGCTGGTGCATTGTGTGTGCACACACATGTGTACATAACACGACCAGATTTTGGCATTAGGTTTGTGTCACCCTGGTAGGATGAGCATCTTTCTGTGCTCAGGAGTAGTTGAGGGATCAGTTTAGTAGCTGGGGGTGTGTTTCTTTTAAACCGATAGAACTCGTCTGTAAAAGCACTTGGGACCAGTGCCTTTTGAGGGACAATTTTTTGTTAGTAGTGTATGTTTGTGGTCCGTAATAACTACATTCATTCTGGGGACTCGGTGCACATATGTAGCACATCCTGGTCATTTTTACTCTCACCTCCACCCTCCCCTTTCTCACTGAGCAGCACATTTAAAAACAACATTTCCAATTTCCCCGATAAGTTATTGATCCTTTCTGGTTTCTAACTCTTTTAAAGTCATTCTTGATGAAATTGGTTTTTATTCAATAATTCACTTTTTATAGATCTTCAGGTTTATTGCGTGTGTAGTTTGTAAGCAGTCTTCTTACTTTAATTTCAAATTTGTGTTCAATGGTAACAGCTTTCTCAGCATGAAGATTGCGTGTTTGTGTCCTCTCATTCTTTCTTGGCTGTGGTAATGTGGTACACTGTCGGTGTCAGGGACCCTTGTGCTAAGGCCTTCCTCAGTGGGCCTGTCTTTTCCAATGTTCCCACAGCAGATTTCAATGTGTTTTCATAGGTGGCTGAGCTGTATGAAGAGTTGAAGAGTAGAGTCTCACAGTTCAACATGTATGTGGACCCGCAGCAGCCCAGCTTGGACCCAGAGTATCCGTACAAGCAGCGCTTCATCCTGCAGGTGAGCCTCTGGGGCTTCTGCTCGTTGGCCTGTGGGTGAAGGGGGGAGATCCACAGATACCAGCCTGGCTTCGGGGCAGGTTTGGAGGCCGCTGTGTTCACACCAAGTTTGGAAAGTAGGAGCCGTTCCTGTCTTCCCTTGTTGACACTCCTGGCGTGGGACTGGTGATGCAGACCTGCTTCTCCTTCCCAGAGAAAATGTTCCTTCTGGGGAGCACCAGCTGTCAGCTCAGTCCCGAGAGGCCCTTCTCTTGGAGCTTTCAGACAGGGAAGGTGCCCTGGAGGCAGCCTGTGCGTGTGGCTGTCCCCCTGCTGCCCTTGGAGGCGTGGGTGGAGAGGAAGAGCTGTGTGTGTGGAACCTCGCAGGCCTTCTGCAGGGAAGTGTGTCCTGGCAGGTGCTGCAGGGCTTCCAAGGTGGTTGAGGCATGCAGCATGGGGTTTGAGGTGGAAACCTGGGGACTGGGCATGCCGGGAATGCAAGTGCTTTCCTGGAGTAAAGCGGCTGAAGGCTAGGAGCTTCTGGGGTAGCGTGCTTCTCATGGGTGTGTTCCTGCTGAAGAAGGGACCCTTCGCAGGATGCCTTTTAGAAGTGACTATGAGATGCCAGCCCTTGGTCAGGGCTCGATGAGTTCTGTCTGCACACTGGGGGGTGTCTGAGCCATTGGTGTGAGTGTCAGGACAAGGGTGGAGAAAGCGAGTCAAGGCCCAGGCTCAGCCCACCTGTCTCCGGAGCCCCATTCTAAGAAGCTCTCCAGCTCCTTGAGGAAGGATGCACCCAGTGTGTGTTTCGCGGGGAAATGGCCAAGCGCTTCCCTTGACAGATGGGAGGCCCCATTTCTGTGCAGAAGATAACCATCCTTTACTCCCTGGGTGTGCATTTCTGCTGGGGTGAGATTAACACTCCGGGGAGGACACCTGAAAAAGCGATGGTGCTTCCTTGTGAACCTGAGCTTCTCTTCCAGGTTGTATTGGCAGGTGCTTTTTACCCCAATTATTTCACCTTTGGACAGCCTGACGAGGAGATGGCGGTGAGGGAGCTGGCTGGCAAAGACCCAAAGACGACTGTCGTGGTAGGTGCAGAGGGTGGGAAGCCACCCAGGTGTGGCAGAGTCATTTTTCCCAAGTGGTCAGCACAGAGCATTTTGTTCCTCTTTTTTTTTGGTACCAGGGATTGAACTTGGGTCCTTGAGCTTGCATAGCAGGTGGCAAAACCACTGAGCTAAATCCCCAGCCCTTGTTCCTCTTTTTTTAAGTGCTCTTCGGGCTTTCTAAAGTCAGGATTGTGTGTTTGGCCCTTCAGGTGCTTCTCCTTGGCCTTCAGGCTTTTCCTCCTTTCCTGTAGACCCAGTCTTCCCAGAAAGCCTGGAGAACTGGTGTGTTCATTAAAGACCCTTTTCCGTAAATTTGAGAATATTTTATTAATTAGCAACTTAATTATACACAAAGAAAAATGGCATTGCTTGGTGGCTTAGTACTGTGGTTTAAACCAGTGATCCCCTGAGTTGCATGTAGAACCACTCAAAGAGTGCTTAGTAGTTTTATTTTAAAATTCAAATTGGGGTCCTTACAGTCTAGGAAGGTCTGGGCTAGAAATCAGCATTTAAATGGTGTGTGCTTTGGCCTGAGGACAGCTCTGTGAACCAGGTGTTCATGCCCTACAGTGACATCAACACCTGGAGTACAGTGTTTGGGACTGGATTTTGATCGGCCTCCTTGGCTGGCATAAGCCCGAGTCTGATGTAGGGAGATGGAAAGCATTTGGTGAAGTCAGCTGGGCACTGCTCGCCTACTCTGGGTGTTGTTACACCTCCCTGTCTATCCTAAGGGAAGGGCCTGTGAGGAGGGCCGGAAGCAGGAGCGCGGAGGCAGCTGGTGCCAGTGCATGGTTTCGCCTGAAGGGGCAGCTGCACCTGAGGGGCATCAGCTTGGGCCCTCATCAGAGCGGACTGAGGCCTTTGTTGGTTTCCTGTCTCTGCTCTCCCCTCAGTGGTGTCCTTTCTTCAGATGTGCATTATGCAGGGTCCCTCAGGGACCTTAATCAGTTTCCATGTGTTCTGGAGGCCAGAAGTTAGTAGCTGGGCATCGGAAAGCTAAGTCACAGCTGGTTTGCTTAGCACTCCAGGGAGAAGCTGTGTGCAAAATACATTGCAGGCTTCTCTGAGCCTCACACTGGCCCTCGGAGTTGAGGGCCTATCATCTCCTAGTATGATAGTGAGTCCATAATTTTTTAAAAAAATTTTTATTGTTTTGTTTTGTTTTTGTTTTTGGTACCAGGGATTGAACTCGGGTCCTTGAGCTTGCACAGCAGGCGGCCAAACCACTGAGCTAAATCCCTGGCCGTGAGTCCATAATTTGCCTAAGGAGCCAGGCAGCTTCAGGGAGGGACGGAGTGGGAGCCGATTTGGTCCCATGTCTGAGCTGCCCTCCCTGGCCTGGTGCCCCCGAGACCCAGTGGGCCTTGAGGTCAGCAAGAGCAGGAGGGCTGGGACAGCCGCCCTGCCGAGGAAACGCCCTCCTCTAATGAGTGGTGTGCTCTCCCTGAGTGAGGTTCCCTCTCGTCCTTCTATAGAGGTGTGATGCTCCACAGGCATATTTAGTCAGCTTGGTTATTTTTTGTTTTTGTTTTGTTTTTTGGTACTGGGGATCAAACTCGGGTCTTTGTGCTTGCACAGCAGGTGGCGAAACCACTGAGCTAAATCCCCGGCCCCAGCTTGGTTATTTTAATACCTTTAAAATAAAAGAGAACTAAGCAGAAATCTTAATTTTGCTGTTAATTGGACTATTTTCCTTTTTTTTTCTTGCACAATACTAGGGTGCTGAGGATTGAACTCAGGGCCTTCACACTGAGCTACATGCCCTGCCCTTTTTAAAATTTTGAGATAAGGTCTTCCTCAGTTACTGAGATGTCCAGACTGCACTCAGACTCCCAATCCTCCTGCCTGAGCCTCACCGAGTACTGTGATTATGTGTATGTACCATCATGCTGGCTTTTTTTGTGAGATGAAGTTTCACTATGTTGCCCAGACTGGTCTGGATCTCATGGGCTTAAACAGTCCTGCCTCAGCCTCGCTCTGGGGCTGCAGGTCCATGCTAGTTTAACAGGGCAAGAATTAATCTTTGTTGAACATATTAATTATTAAAACCTAGTTGGGCCAGGAATTTAGCTCAGTGGTTTCGTCGCCTGCTGCGCAAGCGCAAGGACCCAAGTTCGATCCTCGGTACCAAAAAAAAAACCAAACAAAAAACCCCCCAAAAAACCTAGTTATGGGGCCAGGGATGTAGCTCAGCAGCACAATGCCTGCCTGGCAAACGTGAGGTCCTGAGTTTGATCCTTGGTACCAAAAAACCCCCCAAAACGAAAAACACCTAGTCATGGTTTAAAAGCCATTTATACACTGACCGATAGAGCTGTGGTAAAAGATGGGAAGCTGTGTTTTTCCTGACTGGGAGGATGAGCAGCGGCTCCAAGATCCAGTGGGGGACTGTCCTCTTAGTGCCCGAGTGGCAACTCTAACCGCCAGCACTGTGCTCTGTCCTACAGCTGAAGCGCATTCCTCCCTACGGATTCCTGTACTATAAACAACTGCAGTCCCTCTTTAGACAGTGTGGTCAGGTCAAGTCCATCGTGTTTGATGGTGCAAAGTAAGTAGCACATCCGATCCGTGTAACCAGCTGTCACTCCGAAGGGGCCCAGCGTGCTGCTTAACCATTTCAGGGCCAGGTCTAAGGCCCATGTTCACTCTCTGTCAGTCACTGAGGGTGCCTGGGATGAGGGTCGCTGATCACAGTCGTGAGTACCAGTTTGTCCCAAGTTGAAGCTCTGTTCAGTTGGCCCCATTTTATTAGCAGCTTGGGATTGAGTGATGTGTTGGAGAATCACTGGGAATTATTTTCAACAAGAAATGCTTATGCTCAAAAAGGACAACAGTTTTAAAATTGATTTTCAGTTTTGAAAATTAGAAATGTTTTCCCATGTTCTGTCCATGTTTAAAATTTTCTTAACTTGACAAAGCATTATAAGTCTAGTTAATGAGAACAAACACTTTTTCTTTGATTAATGTCCATTTTACTTGAGTTGAACATCTTAAATACATTTTCAGTTTGGATTAATTCTCTTCAACATTTTAAATTCCATTTCTATGATTAATATATTGGTTTTCTTTGTAGGCCTATGAATTTCTTTGAAGACAAATTCATAACCCCAACAAAGAAAACATTTCTAAGTACACTTAACAATCTTAGGCTTTTCTTTTTCTTTTTTCTTTTCTTTTTGTTTGTTTATTTGTTTGGTACCGGGGATCGAACTCGGGTCCTTGCACTTGCACAGCAGGCAGCAGAACCACTGAGGTAAATCCCTGGCCCTTTTTTCTTTTATTTTTGAGACAGGGTCTCGCTATGTAGTTCAGGCTGGCCTTGAACTCATGGGAACCCTCCTGCTTCAGCCTCCCATGTGTTGGGCTTATAGGTATATACCACCACGCCCTGCTTATGTTCAACATTCTTATAGATTGAATGAATTAAACTTGTGTCTGAAGTTTTCTGACATATGATATAAACTGCAAGCAGTCAAACTCTTCGCCACAGCTTTAAAATCACTGCCCCAGCCTGGCAGCTCACAGGCCCATTGCCATTTGTGAACAGAGTCCTGGGCCTGGGTTGGGTGCATCCCATGTTCCCTGGTTAAGCCAACGGTCAGAAGGTGGCGATCTCATTGTTCACTAGTCTTTACTCTGGCTTGGAGTCTGTATTTGTTTCATAGATTTTCCTGTCTGGAATTTTTTATTGGGATTTAATTATATTTTACTGCACTCTCATTATTTTGACTTTTTAGTCACAGTATTTGGGGCAGAAGCAGTATTTGCTTTGGCGATGGCAGTACCAGTTGTTGTGACTCAAGTGTGGTGAGCAGGACTGCAGGCCTGCTCTGGAGAGCCCACGTGAGGTCTGGGGCGCCCTGTGCATGGGGGCGCTGGGGGAGTGTGGTGAGCCCCGCGAGCATGTGTCTGCTGTGAAACGTCGTGGGAGAGGGCCAGGGCAGGACCAGCGACGCTCACCAGGGCCCCTGGGGTAAGGGGAGGCAGCCAGTGGGACGGGCTATCTGGGCCCCACGGGAGGAGAGCTCAGGACTGAGCAACCTGTGGCAAATGGCTTGGTGGGAGCAGGCTTTGCGTCCAGATGGATTCTGATTTGGGGGTCAGGCACAGTCTTTCCAGGGGCCTTTTGTGGCAGACTGATGAGTAGGAAGTGAACAGGTGGGCACGCGGAGACCCCACATACTCCGCTCTGGTCTGTGTTCTAGGCGCTTCGTGCCATACCTGGGGTAGAGGAATCAGAAGGGGAAGCCAGTCTGGAGTCTCGAAGGTGTCGGGCAGGAGCACAGTGGGGCCAACCTGGTGCTAGCAGAAATGAAGAGGCAGCAGGTGGGGAAGGAGCACTTGGGTTTGGCTGTCGATTGCCTTTGGAGAGCAAGGAGAGATGAGCTGAGGAGGAGCCGGCTTCCCGGGCAAGGGATGCAGGCTTGCAACGGAAAACCAGGAGGAAGGTAGTCCAGAGCTCAGGAGACAGTATTTCTTCTTAATTTTTTTTTTTTTTTTTTGATACCGGTGCTCAAACTTGGGTCCTTGCGCTTTCGAGGCAGGTGGAACCACTGAGCTAAATCCCCGGCCAGCAGACAGTATTTCTAGAGAGAGACTTAAGAGCCCTGCAAAGAAGGATGAGGATGACAGAAACAGAAGTGCTTAACTACTTACCAGTCCAATTATTTAAATACAGGCTGACCAAAAATTGCATTTTTCATTAATTTTTATAAGATAATAGGAAATATAAAAATGACAATTTTATCAGATTTATTCAATAATTTTTCAGTGTATGGTATGTCTTAAAACATTCAGTACACAATTCAGAGTTACAATCTGGGCAGTAGTAACTAGTCTCTTTCTGAATTCTTTTTGCATTATTGTCTGTCTTTGAACAACACTTTACACTGTCATATTGGCCTTTCCTTCTTTTTCTGTGGGTGGTATAATTTCAACAAAGTGTCTCCCCACTAAATGTAATGGCGAAGACATCCATGACGCACATTCTGATTGGTGTTTCACTATCCCATATTTTTCAATTATTTGGTCCTTTAGACCTAATTAAATTGTAAACGACTTTTTGAACCCTCTTTTTTTTTTTTTTGGTACCGGGGATTGAACTCAGGACCTTGCGCTTATGAGGCAGGAGGTGGAACCACTGAGCTAAATTCCCGGCCCTGAACCCTCTTGTTTTGAATAAATAACAAAGGAGTTCCCATTGTTTGATCCTGAAGGTGCATAAATATTTTATAATAATATTTTTTCCTCGCTTTTTGATTATAGGCCAGCTTGTTACATGTTGGTCAACTCTGTCAACACCACCCATAGAATTATTATAATCACTGACCACTATTGGAGTTTTTTTTTACTTTTGTTCTTTCAAGTGCTATCATTTCTGTATTGTGAATAGCTGACAATAAGGAGATGTCTTTTTTGTCTTTCCATCTCATAACAGGCTTTTCCTCTTTGATGTGTAACACTTCTCACTGTCTCAGTTTTTCCTTTTGCGGATCTTTGGCTCTTCCTTCCTGTTCAGTCTGTGTCCTAAATCTGTCCATTTTGTGTTGCAAAAGAACACCACTGAGGGGCCGGGGATTTAGCTCAGTGGTTCTGGCGCCTGCCTCATAAGCGCAAGGTCCCGAGTTCAATCCCCGGTACCAAAACAACAACAACAACAACAACAAAAACAAAACAAAAGAACATCACTGAGGGGGCCGGGGATTTAGCTCAGTGGAACCTCACCTGCCTCGCAAGCACAAGGTCCTGAGTTCAAACCCCGGTACCGCAACAAAAAAACCAAAAAAACCAAAAGAATACCACTGAGTTCTGGAGAAGTATAAACATTATATCTAATATACTTATAGTAAGAGTTTTTATAGATTATAATACAAAATTATAGGTTATTTTTCACAAAATGAACACGATTAGTAAAAGAAAATAACAGAATTTATTAGATTTCACTAGAAACAAACATCAAAGGTGAATACAACATTCTGAATAAGAAAGTAGGCAAAAAATAATTGATATAAACAAACAGATGCAGGAGAGTATCTCATGCAAACAAGAATTGGCTGGTTGAAATGACACCTGCACGAGCAACACTTGAGACAGTACGCAGACAGAGGCGCGCCTGGGAGATGCTCGGGTGCATGGCTAAGTGGCCAAATTGGGCAGCGGTAGGAGGGAAATGCATGCTTGACCTGGTAGTGGGGAAAGCCAGGGATCTGCTGGGGTGACGAGGAGGATGAGGACAAGCAGGTGTGAAAGCAGCAGAGGGGCTCGGGAGGTGAGCTGCAGGCAGCAGGGTGCTCAGTGAGCAGGCTCTGCAGGAAGGGGTCTGACTCAGGTGGTGCCCTCACCACGCTCTGTGGCTCGGGGCCCTCCCATGTCACCCAGAATGACACATGGCCAGGACAGAGAGTGCCATGCACCATCTGTCGCAGTGGGGCTCTGAGTCTGCACAGGGCTCCTCAGCGGCACACTGCAAAGCCCACCCACCTGGTGCCTCTGTCCTTCGTCCCCCGGAGCTGCTGCCCTGCACACACACATAGTGTCCACGTGCAGCTTTTTCCTTCCTTCCAGGAAACGTCCGGCAGGTCTCCTGCTCTGGGCTGGGTTCTCAGCCCTCTGCACTGTTGGGCCCGGGGAGGGCGGGGCTCCGTCGGTGTTCATTGGCGATCGACTCCGTGGTGGTTTGGGGGCTCACCGGGGTCTCTGAGCTGTGCACGGTGTGGCTTTCTGTGTATGCTTTATATCGTGATATTAAACCAACCCCTTCGTTCTGTTATAACTATGATCATTAAGATTTCTTGGCTGATGCTTCCATGTTGATTTAGTATTTATTCTGCATTATACTATACGGGATGATACCTAGCTTCAAGTTGATGAATTGTCATTGTAACTTCTATTTTCCCTAGTGACTTTTTAAAAAAATCAATCAATACTTCTTATGGGTTAATTATCCCAACAAGTTATTGAATATTGCAGAGTGAGGTCCAGTGAGAATTTCTGCTGCTATTGAGAGAAATTTACATGTGATTGTTTTTAAAAATCAGATGCCTGAGCCGGGAATTCAGCTCAGTGGTTCCGGTGCCTGCCTCGCAAGCACAAGGTCCCGAGTTCGATCCCGGGTACCAAAAAAAAAAAAAAAGTCAGATACTTGGTAAATGCTTTTTTATTTATATTTGTGGAACAGAGCCTTTGTGGAGTTTTCCCGGAACCCAACAGAGAGATTTAAAACCCTCCCTGCAGTGTATATGGCAGTGAAGATGTCCCAGCTGAAAGTGTTCCTGGAGCTCCGTGTCCATGCTGCCGAGGACATAGAAGGGAAGGTGCAGGGAGAGGTGGCGTCGAAGGTCCGGAACACGAGGTATTTCCGGAGGGCGCCACTGCAGCTCCCTTTGCCAGTGCTGCTTCCTCAGGACCGTGAGCCCCACTTTAGCTTTAGCTCGTGTAACAGACTCTGGCTGTGTAGTCAGGTGGCACTGCCATTGAACCTCAGTTTCACCAGCCCTGTGTGTGCTGCGCACTTTACCCTCTCAGAGCCTTGCTGTTCATCTGTGTAATAGATCCGCTTGTCGTGCAAGGCTGTTGAGAGGGTTGAGTGAGAGTGTTTATATAGTTTCCAGTTTAAATTAGGGATGAAGCCCTAATGTTAACTTCATTTCTGCCTTCTTATGTTTATGTTTCCTTTTGAGAATTTCTTTTTAAGCAGAGTGGAACTTGTTTTGTTTCCACGCAGCTGAGGGTAGACACCGTAGCAGGGCAGCTGGGTGCCTGTGTGCTTGCAGCACAGGCTGCCCAGCAGTGCCATGGCCCCTGCCTGGTGTGTGGAGAAGGGCAGGGCCCTGGCTCTTGGCAGCAGGCGCTGTGTGTGCTGCTCCTCTTCATAACAGAGTCCTTGCCTCTGGCCACCTTGGTAGGAAGTGTAATTTATCACTGCTTACTCGTGATCTGGGTGATTCTAGGGCGAGTTTGGCAGGTGACGCAGGGAAGTGTGCTCCTTCTGCTTGCCTCCCGTGCGTGGCGTTCTCGCTTCTGAGCGGTCAGCAGTGAGGGGTCGAGGCCTTGGCATGGAGAGGCCATTCTGCTTTGCCAGAGCCAGTTCCAGCCGATGCTGCACAGTGCTGGTGACGGCTGAGCCGTTCATCAGCGAGGGAAGGGGGTTAGAATGCTCTTACAGCGCTCTCCTCCCTTTTAGGATGACAGTGTTAGGAAGGGAAAGTTTTATGTCTTATCGCATTTGTCTTTCTTATCCAGAAGTTTGGATATGAAGGAATTTACTGTCTTACTACTCTACAGGATGAATGGCATTTCTTGGGCTTAGTAGACAATTGTGTGTCTCCTAACATAGCATTGAGCCAAGTGTGAAATCTCAGTTTTTTTAAGTCAAAACCACTCCTGAGATTACAAAGTAGGAAGCACTGAAGGTCCTCGATTTAGAACTCATGCCCTTCAAAAGAGATACTCTGTAAGAGCCCTGGCTTTTGGAATGTATTCCCAGAGAATAGTGCATAATTATTAGGATGTATGCTCCTTCCAGGGCAGCTCAGGATGCCACCAGAAATTCATTTAAAAAAAAAATTTTTTTTTTTGAGACAAGGTCTTAATGTGTAGTTCAAGCTGGCCTTGAACTCATGGTGATCCTCCTGCCTCAGCCTCCTGAGTGCTGGGATTATAGGCATGCACCACTATACGTGGGCAGAAATGCACTTTTGAGGGAATATCAACTTTATCCTCTCATGCTATGTTGGCTTTCTGTCCCCTAGACAAATACCTGAAATAATTAAGGTACAAGAGAAAAGCTTTACTTTGATACAGTTTCAGTGGTTGCTTGGCCTGTTGGCTTTGGGCCTGGGGTGGCCCAGTAGATAGAACATGGCAGGAGTACTTGGTGGAGGGAGCCCTTCACCTCATGACTGCCAGGAAGCAAAGAGAGAGCAACAGAAAGGACCCAGAGTCTCCAGGTGGGGTAGTGCACACCTGTAATGCCAGCACTTGGAAGGATGAGACAGGAGGATCTTTGTGAGATCAAGTCCAGTCTGGGCCACACAGTGAGTTCAAGGCCAGCCTAAACGACACGATGAGACTCTGTCTCAAAACAGAAAGGATCCAGGGTTCCAGTTATTGCCTTCAAGGCCACACTCCCAGTAACCTCACGTCCTCCCACCTTGGTCTGTCTGTCACTTTCTTGTAGCTAGGACAAAACACCCAACACCCGAAGCTTAAAGGAGGAGAGGTATAAGCTCAGAAGTCTCCGTCCGTGCTCGATGGCTCAGGCTGCGTGGTGGAGGGGCCTGGGAGAGGAAGGCTGCTCCTGTCCTGGTGGCAGGGAGGTGGAGCGCTGAGGCTCGTTAGGAGTAGGGAAGGGGGATGGATGGGTTCTTCTGGTCGGTCACAGCCCAGTGAGCCCACTCCTGGCGAGTCGGCCGTCCGCCCCCAGGGTCCGGTCCCGTGCTGAAAGCCCTGCCTGCCCGTGAGCGCGCGGGGGACAAGGCAGCGAGGCCCGCCTCCCGAGGCTCCCCGCTCTCAGCGGTCTGTGGTTCTGGAGCAGCCCCGCAGCCGTGGGCCCTCGAGGGCCTCGAGATCCAGCCCGCAGCATGGGCTTGGGACTTTGTTCAAGCCGCCTCCTCTTGTAGAAGTGCCAGGGCAGGTCCAGATAACTTCCCACAGGCGAGGGTTTCTCAGTAACTCTTGATTGTTATTCTTTTTTTTTTTTTTTTAAACAAAACTTACTTTATGTAGGGTGACTGTAGACTTCCAGAAGCAGACAGTAGAGCCTATGCAAGTCTCACTCAACACATTGGACAAGTCCCAGAGGGCGGCAGATCTCCTATTAACCATCCAAGTTACAGAGGTGAGAGTGGCGTGCTGAGTCCCAGAACTCCCATGAGTGTTGAGAATGGAACAGTCTTCACGCCCAGACCTGTGGCAGTCATCTAGCAAATGTGCGTGAACTTGAACTACTGCTCCTATTAAACTCGAATGTATGCAGAATGGAAAATGAAACAAATATTCTGTAATCAAAGTTAGCTTTTAAAACATCCAGTACATTTAACATGTGCATGACAGGGCCATAATTCATTTGTATGTGGCTGCCAGGAGGCTCTGATTTGACATTTGACATTCCCGCTGGCTCGAACCACTATGGTACATGCACGACTGTCCATTGAATGGCATGGGATAGTCTCGTCGGGTGGTTCATGCTGCCCAGTGGCGCAGCTGTGCCCGTGCCACTGGTGGTTGAAGCCAGTGAAAATGTGAGAGAGTGCTAAAAAACCCATATTTAACAAGATATGTGTTAAAAATATTGACATAATGTTATGTGCTTGTATTGTTCAGTTTATGTCAACAAGACTAACATTGTCGCCATTGTTATTTGGATATGATTTTATTTCTTTAAATTTTCAGTTAAAATACTTGTATGCTTTCTTGGTAAATCCATAGCTACACTCATTGGGAGATTTCATTCAGAAATCTGGATTCCTGACAGGGTGGAACTCTGAGATATTGGGCTCCCCCATGGTCTTTGGCAGCGGGGGCTGACGCTGCTTGGTGGGGCTTCCACTCTTCCATGCCAGGCCCCACCTGCCAGCTCATCCAGTGGGGTGTGCACTGACACCACCTGGCCCTTGGCAGCTGTGGGGACAGCCACGGTGCTGCTTGTCCTTTGGACTAACCAATCTCGATGCTGTTGGTACTTGGGTGTGCTAGTGAGTCTTGTGCCTGGAGAACAGAATTCATGATCCACATTTCCTTACTGTAGTTGTCCTGAACCCCCTCTAGTTTCCTGTCAGCACCTGGGGAAACCTGTGGAATGCACATGCTCACGAAGGCGATCGTGAAGTGCCGTGACCCACTTTTAGGCTTTACCTCTGCCTGTCCCTCTGCCCCTCTTCTTTTCAGGTGGTGGAAGTAGGACACTTCTGGGGCTATAGGACTGATGAAAGGAATGCAGAGCTTCTTGAGAAGCTGACTGCTGAAATTAACAGGCTGGAGTTGGTGCCTCTGCCAGTCCACCCACACCCCGACATGGTCTGTCTGGCACCTTTTGTGGATTTTGATAAAAGCTACTTCAGAGCTCAAATACTTAATGTGTCTGGAAATTCTGCTGAGGTACGTTTTTGTATAGCAAATCATTCAAAAAGAAAGGAGACAGAATTACAGCAACTTATATAAAATCTGCAAATACAGGTGGTAATTAGATATAAATAATTACCATTAGAGTAGGACTGCAGGGAAAACCAAGTCACTCTGAGAAGTCTGTGGTTATGGAGTTAGGGCAGAGCACTGTATTGGCATTGCTCAGGGGGACGTTGTTTGTGACCCCGCATCAGAGGGCTTGTTCTCCTTACCTTGTAGGTATTCTTCGTGGACTATGGAAACCGTGCTCGCGTAGACCTAGACCTCTTAATGGAGATTCCCTATCCGTGTCTCGAGCTTCCCTTCCAGGTGAGGCGGAGAAGGCTCTGGAAGTGGGTGTTGAGCACCAGAAAGGGCCTGGCTGGAGGGAGACCACCTCTCCACAGGCAGCTGAGGCCAGGCTGGGTCTCTACTCTTGAAAATATGTATTGCCAGAGGTATTTTTGCCATTATTGATTTTGGAATGAGGTAAAATAGATGGAAAGTTTCAAACTTAGCAAAAGAAAAGTTGTTTTAACTTACTTTTTGATACTCTTTCTAAGGCTTCTAGTTGTGTTGGCGCCAGAGCTGAGGTGGGCAGGAGACACGCTCACCCACCCCCTTCCCGCCAGAAAAGCCGTCTCAAGGTTACACTGCCCTGCTGTTGTTGATAGTGAGGCAGGTTTCTCAGCTGGGATCTTGCTTCCCCAGATTGTCAGGATTTTTAGGAGGACACAGACAAGATGCACGAACAAGGTTGCGTTTCAGTGGAATTTGGGCAGAATGCTTCGCTCATTTATAAAACTGTTTCGGTGTGCTTTTCTGTCTTGCAGGCTTTGGAATTTAAGATTTGCAAAATGCGGCCCTCGGCCAAGTCTCTGGTTTGTGGTGAGCACTGGAGCCGCAGGGCCAGCAAGCGGTTCGCCTCTCTGGTAAGCAGATGTACTCTCCTGGTGAAGGTCTTCTCGGTTGTGCACAATGTCCTGCACGTGGACGTGTACTGCTGCTTGGGAGCGCTGGACACCATCAACATCAGAGATGTCCTCATCAGCGAAGGCCACGCAGAGCTGGCAGAGGAGTCCTACGAGTCCAAAGTATGTGCCTTGGTCCCCAGGGAGCGTGTGCCTGTGTGGGTGGTTGTGTGTGAGAGAGACAGAGGTGCTTTGCTTCCTCGGAAGCATAGTGGACGGGTGGAGTTGCTCTTCATCGTTTGGCGTGCTGTCAAGATCTGTAGGACCTTTTACAAGGTCTTCAAGGCTTCTCTGAGACTAAACTGCGGTGGGTGGGTATTGTTGTTGTTGGTTTCCTATTCAATCTGTTTTCTCCTCGAAATGGAAATTAGATTTGAAAATGTTTCATTTTTGTTTGTTTGTTTGTTTCTTTGCTTTTTGAAGCAGGGTCTCCCTTTGTAGTTCAGTCTGGCTCTGAACTCCCTGTGTAGCCCAGGGTGGCCTCAAACTTGCTGTGATGCTCCTGCCTCATTCCCCTGAGTGCTAGGATTACAGGCGTGTGCCACCACACCTGGCTCATATTTGGGTGGTTTTTTTTTTTTTTTGGTAACAGGAATCGAACTCAGGACCTTGTGCTTTTGAGGCAGGCAGTGGGACCACTGAGCTAAATCCCCGGCCCTCATATTTTGTTTTTAAAAAATGGATTCCAAGAATTATCTCTGTAATTGAAATAATTAATATTTATTTTAAGCCAGACACGGTGGCACACACCTGTAATCCAAACTACGCGGGAGGCTGAGGCAGAAGTATCACAAGTCTGAGGCCAGATTGAGCAACTTAGTGAAACCATGTCAGGAAAGAGAAGAGGAGAGGAGAGGAGAGGAGAGAGGGCTGGGGATGTAGCTCAGTGCAGGCCCTGGATTCAATCCCCAGTACCGGAAGAAAACAGCCACTACACTGAAAACCAGAAATATTGACTTCAAATAGTTTACAATTCCAAAATGTATTCAACTCTGTCCTTTAAAATCACCTATAAACTCACTGTTCTTGGTTGGAAGGTGTAAGAGAGGCCACTTTTGAGCCTGGTGAAGATCTGTCTTTGTACTTCTGTAATTTCTGCTAGGGATGAACAGTGCTGGAACTGGAAAAGGACAGACAGTCTAGCAAAGCATTAGCTGAGGCACTGGTTAAATCCTCTATGTAATGTGTGAAAGCAGGAATTATGGTAATATTCCTCAGTAAAGTAAGTGTTGTATATAAGACAGTTCTTTAAGAAAAGCTTCTTCTTCAAAGTATCTGAGGGGTGAAACATAGTAAAATCTTTTATATTTCTTTTTTAAATTTTAAAATGAACTTCATAAAACTATCTCTCTATTACTTGGTATACAGGTCAGAATAAGATTATGCCTAGGAAGTGTTTTGATTATGTGGGGATAATGTACTTTTGATGTAATTCTTTTCTTTTAACAAAGGAAACTTCTTGTTTCATTTAGCAAAGCCATGAAGCTCTCAGGGGCCTCTTTTCGAAATCAGGAGACGGAGTGATGCCTGGGTCTGTGGCCTCTCCTATGAAGGATGAGGAGAAGCATCTGATTCAGATTTTGCTGGAGAGCTTCTCTTCCAGTAGACTGGGTACCCCGAGCTGCAAGGTGACGTGTGCTGTAGGAGCTGTTTGAAGTACAGTGGAAAGCTTGTGCCGTTGTACATTATAGGCTAAGAGTTGTGTCGGTAGTCGCGATAGTTTACTTTCCTGCTTTTCAATGTTGTGGCCTTTCCCACAGTGGCTCTGTATTCCTAAGAGCAAACCTGGAGTCTTGTGCCCGGTGGGGCTTAGAGGAAAGCTCTGACTAGTGTTTCATTGTAACTTTCCTTTCTAAAGTGACGAAGAGTACTAGTTTATCCATGGAAGGAAGTGCAGCATCTGAGCTATCCAGATCTGCTGATAGTCTCGGTTCCTGCAGTTCGAATGCTCCTCGGCAGCACGTGGAGAGGAGAGCTGGCTGGATGGTCCCCTCCTTGTTCAGGGGCTCCGAGTTCACGACCTCAGCCTTGGCCATGTGGCTGGGTCTGCGTGGTTAAAGAATTGACACTGACTAAGACAGTGGGCAGTGTTTCCTATATACATATGGGAATCAATTACATTCCAGAAAAAATGTCTTCTTTCAGGTACTTTTTTCTCACTACATTTTTATTGGGGACTGCCTGACCTCCTGACTGAGGGTACAATGAAGGAAGAAAGAATAATGCAGGAGACAAATGAGGGGCCGGGACTTGGTCTTAGCTCTTCTTGGCTAAGACTTCGAGCTCTGGATTTGCCAGTCTTTATTGATCACACAACATAGCAGGGGCCGTAAAGGCAGATGTAGGGAACAGCAGGACTAAGGCGCTGATGAGAGCCAGGCTTGTAAGAAGGGAGGGACGCATTCCTTTCAAGAATAGGCTGTAGTTAATGAGCCACCTGTGTTATTTTTAGCAAATGTTTGCTCTGGGAGAACGCCTGCACAAGAGGCAAATCCCCAGCTGCAGGGCCATCTCGCTTTCAGAGACGCCACAGTGTCACTGACCATTGAGATCTCAGCTGTGACCTTTGGCCTGGGGAGTTCTGCTTCTCCACACCAGCCAGAGGCTCTCTAGCAATTCACTAGGCCTAGGACAGACTCACAATTTAATCAATGGCCAATTATAAGCCAATTCAATGCTATTTTATAGCTGCCCAGTGCAGTTTCACGCTGGTCCCCAGCACATTGTGAAGATACCGTGACGGAAATGTAGTGTTTGAAAGTAGGAGCTGCCCTTGGGGCTCCTGGTGAGAGGAGTTTTGCCCGTGGTCACACTGTGTGTCTTGTGTGCAGACTGTCCTCCACGGGCCTTTCCACCCTTATGAGATGAAGTGTCACAGTCTGACCAGAATATCCAAATTCAGGTATGATGCATTTCCCATGAATGTTTCTCTCTGCTCCTCAATTTAGGTACATCATCAGAAACTAATCTTTCTTGGGCCGGGGGTGTAGCTCAGTGGTGCCCTGCCTGCCTGGCAAGAGCAAGGTCCTGAGTTTGATCCCCAGTACCGGGGGAAAAACAGAGAGAAACTAATCTTTCTTGATACATAAACTGTTGGAATGTCTTTTTTAAACTCACCCTAATTTTCCTTTTAGCCCCAAGTCTGAGATAGGCTTTCTTTCCTCCATGAAAGCCATTTCTATTAGCGTTTTTTTAGTGTCTTCCACCAAAGCCTCCGTATCTGAATGCGTTTGGTTTGATAGCAGAATTGGGTTGGGGAGGAGAGGGCTTAGATCTTGTGGCAGATGAAGGTGAGCTTTGTAAGCCATGTTTTTAAGACTTCATCTGAACGCAGTGGGGAAGCCCTGCTGTGTGCATTTAAGGGTCACTGACTAAACCTGGCTTCCTACAGTCCCTGAGAAGCAGTAGGAGCCTGGAGGAGCTGCTGGAAATGCAGAGCTCAGCCTTATCCAGGCCTTTCAGTGAGCGCATGCTCCTGCAAGCTCTCCGGAGGTCTGCATGTGTGTGAAGCATGCACTAGGCTTCCAAGTGGAAGGGCCCTGCAGGGGTGCAGCCCTAAGGCTGCTTATGACATAGCTGAGCTGGGGCAAGAGGTGCAGAAAGAGCAGCACCCCAGTGCCTTCCGGTGTGGGACCCTTAGGCTGGAGCTTGGTTAGGGGCAGTGATGAGGGGCTGGAGGAATGAAGGATGGCTGTAGAGCTGCTCCTGGCCTCTGCTGAGGTGGATGCACCGTGCCTCTGCTAGGACGCAGCGCAGTGCTGAGTCGGGCCGAGGAGCAGGTTTGGATGTCTACATATGGGGATACTTCACATGGGGTGGAGCTTGGGAAGCCACACATGGAGAGTGGCCAGAGGAAGGGGCTTGGGCTGGCTGCCTCAGCTTGGGGCTGGTCGCATCTGTGTTCGTGACTCTGAGGTGCTCTCACTGTGGCTTGGTTGGTGGATCAGTGCCCTGTGCCCTGCTGCTCTTCTAGGTGTGTCTGGATCGACAAGGAGAGCATCAACTCGGTCATCATTAGTGACACCCCCGCAGAATTGCACCAGAGGATGCTGGTCGCAGCCTCACTGTTAGTCAATGCAACTGGTGAGCCATGGGCTTTAGTTTATCTGTGTCCTCCCTCTCCTTTGTGCTTACGTGTTATACTTTTAGGCTGTCTCCTAAGTGCATCGGCTGATGCAAGTTTAAGAAATGGAAGCTGGGCATGGTAGTGCACACCTGTAATCTCAGCACATTGAGAGGCTGAGGAAGGCGGATTATTAGTTCAAGCCCAGCCTAGGCAATTTAGAAAGACCCTGTCTCAAAACAAAAAAATTTAAAAGGCTGAGGATATAGCTCAGTGTGAAGGCCCCAGTAACTTAACACACACACACACACACACACACACACACACACACACACACGTGCACAGCATTGTCCATTTTCCTTTTACACAAAGATGTGGGAATTAATCTCATCCCTCCATTTTTAACTACAAAGGAGAACAAGTCTGAGTTCTTGACCTTGGGGAAACCTGATAGACCAATGAGGAGAAGGCAAAGAGTAATCAAATGAGTTATTCTCAGTGAGATTAATGCCTAGGGGTCCTCGTGTGGTCCATCTGCGGGGTTTGTGGGATCCAAGAATAGGGAGTACTTTCTTGGAGCAGCAGGGGGCAGGGGGACCAGTAGAGACAGACTCAGGGGAAGAGGGGTGCTACAGGCCAGCAGGGCCAGCTAGGAAGGAGCAACGTCTGAGCAGCGCGTGGTGCAGCCTGACGCTGACTTCGTTCACTGTGCACCAGGGTCTACCATGCTGCTGAGAGAGACCTCGCTGATGCCTCCCATCCCTGGCCTCCCGGCGCTCCTCAGCATGCTGTTTGCACCGGTGATCGAGTTAAGGTAGGGCGAGGGCCTCTGCCTTGTCGGTGTGTAGGCTTGGATCATGTGAGAACCTGGGTGGGGAGAAGTGGGGCCTCACCTCCCTCCTTTGGGTAAGGGTTTGGCCATGGCTTGACCTGGCTGAGCCTTCTGGGCTTCATTCTGATTCAGCCTTCTTGTTGTTGGGGTTATTTGGCCCCTGGCTCATGATGATTCAACTTCTGAATTTCTTGACAAGTGACACTAGTGCAGGAGAAACAGTACTTCTCTTGTTGGACCTTGATGCTTCCCTGGGCTTGCAGTAAGTGCTCTGATCCTCTCAGAATGCTGTGCAAGCAGCCCCCAGGCAGGAGGGACACACCAACCAAGACTGCAGCATGCTGCATGGCTGAGCTGTGGTGTTCAGGGGTCCGTGTATGGTGTGCATTTTCAGCTTCGGATGGGCGTGGCAGGATGTGAGCCGCTGGAAGTGGAGGAACATCTGTGCTTGGGCTTGGACTTCCTTCAGAAAGAAGCCCCAGTAGCAAGGTGCACAGATGGGGTGACGGTCGCCCTGCTGTGAATGGCTGTGCCTGTGAGCCCCGCTTTCTGGTGGCCATTTGACAGTGGGAGCCCCATCAGCCCCTCTGCCCCAGGCAGGGAGGCCAGGAGATGATGGGAGCTGCTTTTGTGCTGAAGTTTAGCAGGGATTTCTTCCAGAGGCGTTAGTACAGAGAGCTGTGTAAGGAGATAGCCGTTGTTTATGAAGTTTTATTTGGGTACCTGACTCCTCAGAGGATCCACTGTGGGTGAAGCACTAACCGTGTGGTGCACAGAGGGTGGCAGCTAGAAGGAGAGTGGGATTGAGGGGGAGCAGCCCACCCTGGCAGGTGAGGTGGGAACAACACTGACACCAGGCCTTGCTGCACTCAGGAGGGAAGAGAGGAGTCCCCCTTTGCCTTTCCCAGCTCCTTGGTGGGCCTGGGGCATGGGTAGTAGGCAAGTTGGCCGAGTTGGCGGAGGGGGTGAATGGCCCCTTGCTTGCTCGGTCTTCTCTGGGCTGTGTGACATTTCGTAAACACCCATTTTGGTAAGTGTGTCATGAGTCACCGATTGGGTGTCCAGTGGCTTACATGCACATTGCCCTGTTTGGTGTCCTGTGTTTGTTTCTGACCTCCTTTCTGAAAGGATTTAGTATATTTTTAATTGCGGGGGTTTGGCTTGCCTCGTCTTCTAGTTGTGATGTGATAAATATTTCTCAATTAAGCATCTTCATAGTCCAGGTAGATACCTGGATTACAGCATGATTGTCCAGCGATAGTGTCTCAAGAAGGGTGCGATGCTGCGTATACAAAACATGCAGATTCCTTTCCGGTAGTTTCAGTACCCTTCCTGCCTTAACTAGACCACGTTCCCGCTTCAGCTCTTCTTTTAAAATATAAGCTTTATGGGGCTGGGGATTTAGCCCAGTGGTTCCACCGCCTGCCTTGCAAGTGCAAGGACCCGAGTTCGATCCCCGGTGCCAATAAATAAATAAAGAAAGAATAAGCTTTTTTTTTAGGATTTGAATAACAGTGTGTTATTTTTAAATCTCTAGAGTGCAGATGGTTATATTGTGGACATTTAAGAAATTCCCAGGGATTTAGCTCAGAGGCACTGGACCTGCCTTGGAAGCACATGGTCCTGAGTTCGATCCCCGGTACCAAAAAAAAAAGGAAAGGAAAGAAAAGAAACACCCAGATAATTGGTATGGTAAAATAGTATCTTTCTAGGGGGAAAAGGCTTAATAGAAGAAAGATACATATATAAACAGTACATAATGCTTTGCACATAGCTGATGGAGTATATTCATTTCTATTGAATTTAACTTAAAGGAGCCAGAAGTAAGACACTGTGTCTCACAGTGTGAATAAGATTACAGATACCCTTCCACTTGTGTGAGATCGCATCCCGACAGCTGTGTCATAAGCTGAAAGTACTGGAAATGGAGAACACGCTGACGATCCTGACCAGCTGCACAGTGTCTTAGCCACACAGTGCCCTGCAGTGTTGGTTGTTTCTCCTCATGATCACAGGGTGGCTAGAGCTGGGGCTCTGTGGCTGCCCCAGCATCAGGCGAATGTGTCATGCAGCAGCGTCTGCGAAGGATGAAATCCAAGGCGCAGCTTCTGCTGGGTGCATATTGCTTGTACACCATGGTAAAAGCTGAAAAATGCTAAGTGGGACCATCGTGTGTCACAGATCTTCTGTAGCTGTCTTTGAACCCTTAGCTAGGTGGCCGGCAGGAATGGAAGAGGGGCCTGGTAAATTTTTGTCCAAACTCTGCCCATTTGTTGAGTCAGTAGCAATCACTTTGGAGAGACTTTTGGAAGATGAGAGAGAGAGGTGGTTTGAGGTGAGCATTTTCCTTTCCTTCCACCACAGCTGTTCTTTCACCTGGGCAAGCAGGGGATCATTAGGTCTCTCTGGCCTGTCTCAGGGGTGCTGCCCCAGAGGACCCTCCTCAGGAGCTGGCGTGCTAGGGCACACTCGTCTTGCCCCTGGTGACCCACCTGCAGGGCAGCTCATCTCCTGCTCCAGTGGCATTTGCCTGCCACAGCAGAGGCCACCGGGGCCACCTGTTGGAAACAAAGCTGCATCTCTGGCCAAGTGTGGGTCTGTCCATGTCCTGTCACAGTTGATTCTGACTTCAAGGCTTTTTGCCACCTCTGATACATTCTTTGTACCATAGTGGGAAGAGGGAAGATAAATAAATGGAGAATTAAGTTCTTAACTTCTGTTTCGGTGGAGAGAGGAAAATGAGGTGTATGCTGTCCCCACTGCCGAGCCAGAAATCCCCTGGGGACCGCACTGCTCTCTTGCTCCTGGCCTGGGGGCTGGGCTTCACTCAGTTCCTTGGTGCCTCCTCCATGGGTGCCCTGCGTGAGCTGCCAATGAGAGCTGGGCCAGGCCCCGTGGCTCTGCCTGTGAGCGAAGGTGCTGACCTCCCCTCATCTGTAGCCACACCTGCCCCGGGGTACCTTGCTGCTCTCGCTGCCCTCATTCCCATGGTGCCTCCATGAGCAGCTGGAGCAGTGCCCGGTGCGGGCGTAGCTCAGTGTGGGCACTGTGCCCTGTGCAGGCTCCTCCCTGGCAATCGGTGCTTTGCAGTGGGGAGCTGCACACCTCCAGGCTGAGAAGATGTCCTGATGGGTGCAGGGATGAACGAAGCCTGCCTTTCCCCAGCTCTGGAGCTGGTGTGGGTGCTGGTGGCCCAGGCAGCCATCCTGGCCCAGGGCCATGTGACCTGCAGGCAGGCTCAGCCTGACGTGGCACTGCTTCCAGGCCCCGAGACAGCAGCCACAGAACATTCTCTCCATAAAGCTGATAAAAGTGTAGTGAGTGGGTAAAGGGGGCTGCGCTGTTAGCCAGTTCCTGTGGCTGGAGCTCAGCCACAGAGCACGGTAGCTGGGCAGCCAGGCGTGGTGGCGCACCCCTGTCATCCCAGCACTTGGGAAGCCAAGGCAGGAAGCTTGCTGCAAATTTGAGGCCAGCCTGGGCTACAGGGCAAGACCTTGTCTCAAAAAAGCAGCATGGTGGGCCAGGGATTTAGCTCAGTGATTCCAGTGCCTGCCTCACAAGCGCAAGGTCCCGAGTTCAATCCCTGGTACCAAAAAAAAAAAAAGGTGGGGAAAAAAGCAGCATGGTAAGGTACAGCAGCCATATTTTGTTCTGTGGGTGAGGCATTGGGACAGTGTTCCCTAGAGGTAGCTGCTGCCGCCTCATGAAGTTAGGGACTTCGGCTGGGAGACTGGCAGTCTGGAAGATGGGAATCATATCCGCTTTGCTCAGGTGGGTGTGCTGATGTGTTGGGAGCCTCCCTGGATGGTCTCTGTGGGGCTGGAGTGGGCATCTGCGTCATGCTGGCTGGTGCTGAGTGGGCACAGTCAGTCCCGAGAGAGAGCTAGGTGTTAGCTATGCCACAGCATGGGTTAGGCCGCAGCTCTACCCTCTCTGATTCACAGTGCAGGACCATTGACCCCACTGGTCCTGGAAGTGGCCGTGCACACCATAAGAGCAATGTGCAGGAGGGAAAACACGCGGACACTGCATGGAAGGCACAGCCTGCCAGTCTGTGCACCAACTTTATGCTTGGAGCATCTGCAGAATGTTCATGTGCTGCTTCATAATTAAAAAATCTTAACCTGTGCAGCAGTCTGACGATGAGGTAGAAGGGTGGGAAGAGCTTCATAGGGAGACAACCTCATGACTTCCCACAGACACAGCCATTTGGACCTTTGCAGGTTAAGCCAGGAGCAGTTTCTGAATATCTGACAGAGTTCTTTATGTGGACATTTCAGATTGACTAACATTTCACTTTTTTTGCAGGGGCCATTTTGAGACAGGGTCTTGCCATGTAGCCCAGGCTGGTCTGGAACTCATGGTGATTCTCCTGCCTCAGACTCCCAAGTGCTGGGATGACAGATGTGTGCCACCATACCTGGCTAACATTTCACTTTTAAGGAACTATATGTCCTTATTTGGGACCCATAAAGAGGCCTGTTAGCTCGGAATAGTTCTTCCTCTCTTGTTTTATTTTAAACGAAAGTATCTGAGAAGTCACCTGTCCAAATGGTGGCAGCAGCCAGCTTGTGCACGTGGCTCCCTTGAAGGAGTTATTTCACCTGGTAATGTCTTGCTGAGCTCTGCATGGCACATGCTTCGGTTCTTGTCATAATTTTACAATTTCAGCTGTAATCAAAGTATGCATTAGAGATGAACTAAACATATTTCTGTGATTTTGCAGCTGCTTCTTAACTTCACATAAGTATTTAGGATTCCTAGAAGAGAATTAAGCTCACTGTGTATTGGTCAGCTTTCAATCACTGTGACAAGATTTATGAGATAAATCAACTTCTAGAGAGGAAATATTATTTTGGCTCACAGTCTCAGAGGTTTTAGTCCATGGTCACTTGACTACGTCATTTTGGGCTTGTGGTAAGGCAGAGAGCATCAGGTGGGAGGGCCTGGTGGAGCCAGGTTGTTCACCTCACGGTGGCCAGGAAGCAGAGAGAGGGTGGGCGGGGCCAATATCTCCTTCGAGGGCATGTCCCGGTGACCGAACTTCTTTCCTTCAAGCCCCCCACTAAAGATCCCACATGCTGCTAGTGGCACCATCAGCTGGGAACCAAGATGTTAACATGCAGGCCTTTGGGAATACTTAGGATCCAAACCATAGCGCCACATAGGTGACCTTCCCTCACATGAGACATAGAGCAGGTAAAGAGAGAAGCACCGCCTTCTCTGGGGTCATGGCCAGCCCACCTCCTTGGCCGCCCTTGCTGAGCTGTACATGTGACTGAGTCCCAGCCTGCTCCACCACAGCTGTTGGGGTGGGAGGCTCTGGGAGGTTCTGCTGAGTTATGAGATGACCTCTTAATTTTTGATCACCTTGTCCTGGAAAGGTTTTACAAAAATTGAAACTACAATAAATTATTTTGATAATGTAGAGGAACTAGTTACTTAAAAATTTTTGTAACTGTTTCATAAAGCAAATACTTAACACTTAATTTATGAGTCTGAATTTTAGGACTCTGTCTTTTGAGTTTACTTAAAGCAAGATTCTCTTTCATTTTTATTAAACTGAAAAAGGGGAGAGGAAAACAGGGAATATATGTAGATGTATATATCTAATCACATACATGGCTAAGAAGAAGACTGTTTTGCTTGTATATGTATTTTTTGAGACAGGGTCTTGCTATAGTCCAGACTGGCCTTGAACTCATTATGTGGCCCAGGCCGGCTTTGATCTTGAGGCGGTGCTCCTGCCTCTGCCTCCTGAGTGCTGGGATTACAGGTGTGTGCCACCATGCCCAGCTAGATTTTTATTTTTATCAAAATTTAAGTAAGCCAGGTGTTGTGGCCCGTTCCTGTGGTCCCAGGGACTTGGGAGGTGAGGCAGGAGGATCCTTTGAGCCCCGTTCAGGCCAACCTGGGGAGACTGTGTCTCAAAAAACAAAACTTAATTGATCTATAAACTTGCAGCTGTAAAATGATAAGTTCTGGGAGTCAATGTCTGCGTGGTGATGACTCTGTTACTTGGTTGAGATCTGCTGAGAGAGCAGGCCCTGGTCAGTGCACAGGAACGGCAGCTGTGGTGATGGATATGGCCTCAGGCTCGATTGTGGTGATCAGCTCATGGGATATCTGGTTTTGTCAGTCAAACCACAGTAAAGCTGGAGAAGAGACTGTTTCAGATGATGGGGAAAGATGATGTTACTTCCCAGTGAAATACCAAAGAAAATCAGCAACATATTTTAAAAGGCATCTGGTGTTGGTGTCTGTTCATTGTAATTCCTTGTTGGACCCATTGTGGGTTGGATGATGGCCTCGAAACTGACTGTCGCGTCTGCTGTGTGTGCTCAGGCCTGTAGTCCCTGCTATGAGAAAGGCTCAACAGAAGGATCATTTGGGCTTAGGAGTTCGAGACCAGCCTGGCCAACATAGTGAGACTCCTGTCTCAAAAACATAAAACAAAACCCCACAAAACAAACCCCTCATTCCTGCAGGGTGAGAACTGAGTGGCCTCGGGGCCCTGGGGCTGAGGGCACAGGGGAGCGGTGTGGGGGCCGCAGTAGAGGGGTGCCTGTGCTGCTCAGGCGGAGAGGGCCCTGTGGGAGGCTGCGCAGGAGATGGAAGAAGATTTCACTGTGGCTTGTGGGCCCTGGGGAGTTCAGAACACAGCTGGAAAGTACTATAAGCCCTCCAACAGGGAAGACATTGCTGAATTTGTTTGGAAAACTCCTGCTCTGCAACATAGAAAAAGGTTGGCAGAAGCAGTGGAGGTGGGGAGATTCATTGGCGTGAAAGTTGCAGTGTGGGTTCAGGGGGGAAGTGGCTGTGGTTTGACAGGTCGGTGGCAGCAGGTGGAGGGAACGGACAGACTCAGCGGGACCTTAGAGGTGGCAATGGTGGGTGACACAGGAGGCAGGGTGTGGGGCGTAACTGGGTTGCGCAGCTTTGCAGCCCAAGTAAGTATGTGTAGTTGTTGAGGATAGGAGCATGGACACACAGCCTTTAGGCTCTTACTGCGTGCTAGGCTGCCTCACAGACGCATGGATGGCTTCCTCTAAAAATCCCTCTGGGAAGAACTCAGCCCATGGGAAACTATATGCCACAAAATAATCTTTCCACTGTCTTACACACAACAGTGACAATTAGAAACTTACTGTTAGGGGAACATAAATATTTAATTTGCTGTTGTTGCAGTGCATATTCGATCTAAATTTTTAGTGTAAAAAGTGGAAAGAAACCCTAATGAAAGTAGGATGGTTTATTGGTCAATTCTTGAATGTTAAAACTGTGGCTTACCAATTGTGAAATGACTAACCCCTTTCATCACATTTAATTCAGGCTGGACCAGGAGGGAAAATGCTACACCGGTGTCCTCTGTGGCCTAGGGTGGAACCCAGTGACAGCGGCCCCCATCCTCCCAGAGCACGACATGGAGCTGGCGTTTGATGTGCAGCTCGGTGTGGAGGACATCACCGAGGTGAGCAGCACAGCACCGCTCTGCTCCGGCCTGGCCTGCAGGGCTCTTGCCCTCTTTCTGCCTCTCACATGCGCTGTCTCCTGCACGGGGCTTCTGAGCCGTCAGAGGAGATGCGGGGCAGCAGGAGTGGTTGGTGGCTCACAGAGGAAAGGAGGGAACCAGGTCCCAGTGCCGGCTTGTGCCCCGCGGGCCTCCCTGAGCCTGGGGCTGAGTGCATGTGGGGCCATCACTGTCCCAGTGCCGGCCAGGTTGTGACAGGGCCACCAGGCCCAGGTTCAGCTTTTTAGACTTATGAAGCAACTGGAAAGACCATTTGTACGTCCATTGAATCTAGACTTTTCTTTTGTTTGTCTTCTGGAGACAGGGTTTACTACGTTGCCCAGGCTGGCCTCGAATTTACAGTCCTCCTGCCTCAGCTTCCCGTGTAGCTGAGGTTGTAGGCAGCCATCACCACACCTGGCTTGTCTTTGAATCTAATAATGAAAAACATGTGCTTGTATTTTGTGTTTTTATTTTTACATTTCATTTTTCTTAAAATTCATTTTCTTGCATTTTGTAAAGCAGAAAGAAACAAAACTGATCCTTCCTCCTAAATAGTTGAGAAATGCCACTCTGGAGCACCTTCTCCTTTCCTTCTCAGGAGTCCATGGGATGGGGGAGGTGGGCACAGGTGCCAGGGTGAGGACAGGAGGAGCGGAGTCAGTGGAGGGAGTCCCCGAGGGCCTGGCTGGTCCTCTTCTCCATGTCTTTATCGCTTACATTAGCACTTAGATGTTAACCATCCATTCACGTGAGGCGCCTAAGCCTTAGAAAGGCTCAGCAGGAGACAGGCAGGCCGGTGCACACCGGTGATCTGGGCACTCTGGGAGGCAAAGGCAGGAGGGTGGAAAGTTAGAGCCCAGCCTGGACAACGTACTGACTTGGTGAGAACCTGTCTCAAAAAACATAAAAAGGCCCCAGGTTCAGTCCCAGTCCCATGAAACAAACCAACTAAAAAAAACTTCTTAGGTCACAGACCCCATTGTAAAATATGAAACTAATACTTCCAGAAGTAAATACAGAAGAGAGCTACATGCATTTGAACTTGGCCTTAGTTTATAGATACAACACTGAAAACACAATCTATCAAAGGTGAATCGATAAGATGCTCTGCGAAAGGTGTGTTAAGAATATGAAAAGAAAGGCCCCTAGTAGGATAAAATATATACAAATCCCATGTCTGATATAGGACATGTGTCCACAGTATATAAGGAACTCTTGCAAGGCAGTAATAAACCGACTAAATGAAAATGTGGACGGCAGTAAGCAAGTCAGAGGCTGTCAGCACCACGAGTCACAAGGAAGATGAAAACGAGGACCCACTGTCACCTTGAGGTGGCAGGCTGCAGGGGCGGACAGGGCCCTGCTGGGAGGGCGGAGCTGCAGGAGTCAGCTCCTGGTGGAGCCAGAGGATGGCGCTGCATGTGGACAACAGATTGGACAGCTCCTGCCAGGTGGCCCTGGAGTCCCACCTACTGCTGTTTGTCAGACAAATTTGGGGACTTACACCCACAGGGAGCTCATACAGGCTCATCTCCAAAACCGGGAGCTTGAGGATGTCCTTTACAGGGGAATAGATAGGCAAACTGGCACGGCCATGCAATGGAAAAAGAATGTGTGCTTCACAGGGTCGTGTGTGAGAGTCTCGAGTGCATGCCCGAAACACGCACATAATTCTGCACAGGAAGGATGCGAGTGGCTGCCAGAATGACTTGCAAGGGGACCTGGGCCCTGGGGCAGAGAGCTGTTGATGCAGATGGAGGTGGTGGGCGCATGGCTGTGCATGCGACGAGACCCACAGGCCTGTTTGTCCCCAAAGGGTGGACACGGGTGTGTGTCAGCTAGGGCTCCTGGGATGGGACACAGGCAGGACATAGGGGTCTGTGTTGAAATGTTTCGCATGTGCATCAAAGGGGTGAGGAGGAAAGCAGCCCGGAGAGCAGCTCTGACCAGAAACCGTAAAGCTGCAGACCAAGGACCTGTGTGCCAGTGTCGCCCTCTGGTGGTTAGGTTGCTCCTTGTGAGGTGCAGGGCAGAAGTTCTGAGGCTGTTTCACACGCCCCTGGCTTGGACAAGGAGGTCGGTGGATGTGGGAGACGGGTCTCTCCCTGTTGGGGAGGAAGCTAGAGTGACCTTGTGGCCCAGATGAGATCGGTGTGTCCTGTCTGTGTGACCTCATGTCTCGGGATGGACAGCTGTAGACCCAGTGTCGGTCTGTGTGTGCGTGGCTTCCTGTTCACACGGCGTCCAGCTCTGGGTGGCCAGGAGACGGCGACACCAGGGAAGTAAATGGGCTCAGCACTCAGATTCTAATGGGGTTCTTCGGCTCAGGAACAGGCCTGGAGAAACAGCGGGCTCTGGGAGGGGCAGGAAATGTGCATGGTGGACTGGAGCTTCTTGGAGCACCAAGAAGGAAGGCTGTGCTCACGACACAGGGGTGGGGTGGGTCAGAGGACGCAGGAGACAGGAGGAGCTCCTGGTGGCCAGTGCCTGAATGGCATGGGCAGGAAAATGAATAGCACGGTGTTGTTGCATGCAGGGCTTTTCTATTCAGGTTGTAGCCAGAGTGCAAAATACCCATGTGTCCATACAGTGGAGGGAGGTGGCTGCTGAACTCAGTGTGGGAGAGGCAGCTCTCACAGAAGCCCAGCAGCTCGGGCAGGTGCTCCTGGCCCTGTGGCGGGAGGATTGGTGACTGTGGAGTGTGGGTCCTCGTAGCAGAGAGGCTGGCAGGCCCTGCCCCTGTGGAGTGTCGTGTCATGGTCATATCCTCTGGGACACAGGCACACTGCAGAATATGATGAGAGGGCGCCTCCCCTCTGTCTTCACGAGAACAACGCTGGACAGAGCAGGCTTGGAAACAGTCTACAAGCACCATGCAGGAGCTAAGAACTGCCAGGAAAGGAGGATGTGCAGTCCAGTGTGGCGCCTGGGTTTTCGTCCTGGAGCAGAGATGGGACAGGATGGAGATGGGTCCGGTCCACACAGCGGGGGGGGGGGGGGGGCTGGTTAACAGCAAGGGAGCCGGGTTCTGAGGTGTGACGGAACGGGGCTACAGGAACTGTTTGTCCTGTCTTCGTAACTGAGGTAAACTTAAAAACTGACAGGCTGATGGTAAAGCAAAATCTTCGTACTTTGGTCAGGGGCTTGTCAGACTCCCTTGGGAACATCGCCAGCAGAGCCGAGGAAGACTCACATACATGCACAGCGGTGTTACCTATAAGAGCAAGCATGTGGACACAAAACAGTCTGGCTGGGCATGGTGGTGCACACCTGTGATCCCAGCACTCAGGAGGCTGAGGCAGGAGGATCACTGTGAATTCAGGACTACCCTGGACTATACAGTGAGACCCTGCCTTAAATAACTTAAAAGACACTGAACAATCTGAACTTTTCTTGCTGATTCTTAACTTTTTCTTTGCTGTTGTTGCTTAAATTGTGATAGTGATGACTGATACTATTTCTGTTGTTTTAATAGTCCTCCCAACAGCCATACTGATGATACTCATGAGTGACTCTGAGAGGTATGATTTATCTACTATGGGATGCAGCCATGTAAGTATTTATGTCACCATTCATTTACAGATTAATATTCTCAGGGCTGCTATCAACAAGCTAGTGTGTGATGGGCCGAATGGATCCAAGTATCTGGGGCCAGGAAGAGTCATGCAGTTACAGGACAGTGCGCGTCAGAAACTTCTGAGGTAAGCGCTTCAGTGAGGGGCTTCTCCCTTCCGGCTGGCCCACTGTCTGGCTGCCTGGATTTCAGACGATTTGAATTGTGTGAGCGGTATGACAAATGGGTACCCCCGGGCTCAGGTGGGCAGGGTGCCCAGATGGGTGGCTGGGGGTGGGGTGGTGCAGTGCCCCGGGAGGCTGAGCGGTCGCCTGACCAGACCCCTCACTCCTCCCGCCTCTCGCTGGACTCCTCCAGACTCAGCCAGAGTGCAGAGGACTGGGAGCCAGCTCAGGGCCTGGAGGAGCAGGGAGGAGAGTGGATGCGGTCAGTCAGGGGAGTGGCAGAGGGTGCCCACTCCCGGCCCCCACTTCCACCTGGGCTCCGTTTCCGTCCAGCTCTGGCTCCACGGGGAGGACCTCCGAGACTCCCACTGCTCTGTTTCCTGTGACCCTCCAGTGTGGCTGGCTCTCCATCTCGGGTGTGGGTGCTGGGTGCTTTGGAGGCTGCTGTCAGGCTGTGGTGCTCTGCGGGCTCCCCTCCCACGGGCCGCTCGGCCCTCTCCCCCAGCAGCTGTTCCTGAGCTCCGGCACGCGGCCCTGTGCCTTTACGCACCCCTAATTGTTAATGAAAATCGGACCCAGTAGATAATATAACAGCCTTCCTGAGTCTGCTGAGCTCCATTCTTTGTGTTTTCTAATGTGCTTCAAGTGAAAATATCATAAAATTTTTACCTTTCAAAAAACTGCAGTTCTAATTCTGAGGAAAATGTATAGGATTTAAATTTTTTAAATTACAGTAGTATTTTCAGTTACTACTGTATAATTAAGATAACTGGATTTCCTTTTTGTAAATTGTAGTTTGTTCTGTCAGATGAAGCCTAGAAAGAGGATTATTCCGAAGTGGCATGAAAAGCCCTACGAGTGGAATCAGGTGAGTAAGAAGCAGCTGCAGGTGAGCAGCCGGGTGCCTGGTCGGGGAGGCCTCTGGGTGGACCGGCCCAGGCTGCCAAGAGCACAGCCCGGGGCAGAGTGAGCAGTGGTGGTGAGCGGGCTCTGGGGACCCTGAGTGACAGGTCAGCAGGGCAGACAGGATGGGCCTGGCCTGGGAAAGCAGGTCGAGCCCTGGCTGGGACCCTGCAGCTCTTCCTGACATTGTGCTGCCGTCCGCTAACAGGCGCTCGTGAGCTGCAGGTCGCGGTGCTGCCTGCTCAGCGGCTGTAAGGAAGCTCCCCAGAGGGGCGGCTGAGGGGCGGCTGAGGAGCAGCAGACATTTGTCCCTCAGACCTGGAGGCTGGAAGCCTGGGGTCAGGGTCGCAGAGGACCATTTCTGGTGAGGACCGTGTCCTCGCACGACAGCAAGAAAGAGCCAGGGACCCCTGTGGTGTCTCTTACAAGGCACTGACCCTGAGGGCCCACTCTGCCTCGCCCTCCGGGCCCTCCGAAGGTCTCTTTCCAGTGCCCCTGCAGGTCAGCGCCTCCCCATCACGGTGTGGAGGACACAGTGTGAGGCAGGGCAAGGCCCGTCTTGGGCGCCTTCACCCTTCCTGTGTAGGGGTTGGGAGACCAAAGGAGGTGTGGCTTCAGGCAGAGGAGCAGAGGGATTTTAGGCTTTGATTCCGGAGCCACAGACGTCTGTAAAGAAGCCAGCGGGGCAGTGGTTCCTCCTCCCTTGGCAGTGAGGTGAGACTGTGCCCTGGAGCTCGTGCCCCTGTCTCGGGTCCCTGCACTGCTGACGTCGGCTCTCCCACGACTGCCGCCACACCTGTAGGCGAGACGCTGATAGGACGGCAGCAGTAGTTGGAAAGCAGCACTTCATTTTGAGCCTGGTGTGTTTGAGAAAACTCACCTGTTTTTCAACGAGCACCTGTGCTGAGGCTGCCATGCACTTTTACTCAGGAGAGAGTAGGAGATTTTTCAGTCCAGGTTACCCTGTTATCAGACACAGATTTGAAACTGAATTCTCAGACACATAGTTTGGAGTCTGAGAGTAGACGAGCACATGAACGGTTCTGACAAGGGGAAGAGTGCTTCTGGTTGTCTCACCTGTCGCGTGTGTGTGCATGTCGTCTCATGTATGTGGCGCAGAGCCTGACTGGTGCCTTTGTCCGTCCTGTTAGGTGCATCCCAAGCTGGTCATGGAGCAGGCTGACCGGAAAGGCTGCCGAGGGAAGAGTGCCCTTCTCTACCAGCTTCACAAGCTGCTGGTGCTCAGCCCCTGACTGTGGGAGGCCGCGGAGGCACCTGTGTGTCTCAGCATGGCTGCCTGTGCCCTTGTGCCCTCCTCTTCGGGGCGGGAGTAGGTTTCTGTGCAGGCGGGAAGGGTTGGAAAGAAAATCACTGCACTCGGTATTTGGAAAGAAAAGAATTGCTCTGGACGAAGGCTGGAAACAGCGGTTTGCTTCCACGCATGAAGGTGAAGGCTGCTGGCCAGACTCACGGACAGGGTCCAGCGTGGGCTTTCGGGTCCTGCCTGTTACCCGCCTCAGGCCTGTGCCCGGACAGGCAGGGCCGCTGGTTTGCGCAGGGGGCTGTGTGTGCGGTTTTTAAAACCAATGTGGCATTTTCTGATTTTTTTGAGGTTGTTTCCCATGAGGAAAAATACCTAATTTTGGTAAAATTAATCTGTTTTGTACATGTAGGGCTTTTAGTTAAATTACAGTTTTTGGTTCACATTTTGGAAATCAGAAATGACCTGGCAACTGTTATATTTGTGTTAAAACAATAAAAACCTTAGACAACATTTCTGTTTCCACAATTTTTGATCAGAGGAGATTAATATGTACTTTATTTTATTGTAAAAAGATCTCAAAAAAATAAAAGGCTTCTGTTTATAAAATTGATGAAGGAATATAAATCTTAGAAAGTCAGCTCAGGCACAGTGCTACCTCAGAAGACCAGCTGCTGAGGGGCGGGCAGCGGGTGCCCGCCAGTGGCTCTCAGAGCTTTTGGGGAGTGTGGGGTGCGCGTGTGCGCCCTGGGCACCCCCAGAACTGGGGCAGGTGGGCAGACGCCGTGTGGGGAGGGCACTGGGCTGCGCCCTGGCCGCCCTGATGTGGCAGCCTCAGCCTGGGCTTGTCCTGACCTGCTGCTCTTCAGCCTGGCCCGGCCTGTGTTCCCAGTCCCGGAGGGGCTGCGTCCCCAGTGCTCAGCGTCCTGGGCGCAGGCTCTGGGGCCCCCCCGGGTTACACGGGGCGCCCACAGGACAGCTTGCTCTGTCACTACGGAGTCAGTAATAGGTTGCAGGGGAGGATTCGGTGAGGAGGCAGGGCTCCTTTTATAACTAAGCCTCTTGGCATTATTTAAATTTTTAACCCTTTGCTAAGTCTGACTAAAAGAAGAGAAGGAAAAAGTGTGGGGAAAAGCTTTTGTAGATGAGGGGAAGGGCTGAGGGGAGGGGAGGGGAATGGGGAAGAAAGAATGAAGATGTGTGATGTACAGATACCAAATCCCTGTGATGAATGTGATCATTATGAATACCAAGAGCACCAAATTAATTAAAGTTAATCAAATTTTAAAGAGGAGAGTGGGCGGCACACAGACGTAGACCTGCGTGCTCCGTCCCCTGCCGTGCGATGCTCCGGCCAGCTCTGCACGCTGTGGCCAGCCGGGTCGAGTCGGCAGTGAGTCCTGAGTCTGGGCCCATCGGAGCCACGCCCACGGTGCGGCCAGCAGTCTAGTCTGGCTGTGGCCGCCCGGAAGCCCCCTGAGGGGCTGATCCGCCTGCGGACCCTGGCGGGGCTCTCGGCCAGCGCGTTCTGAGACCGCCCTTGCGCTCCCCTTACAGACACCAGGATGTGTGCGCTGCCGATCCTCGCTCGGTGACCTCGTTTGGGTGGCTTTCAGATTTTGATTAATTATTGACAAAGTGTCCCTGAGCAACTTTTATATTGGTCTTTGTTTTCAGTGATGTGTTGAGCCTGCATTCCAGTGTGACCGATGCGTATAGCACTGCAAGAACCACTTTTGGAGATGTTTAAGACAGTCCCAGTTAGAGCGCTGTTGATCTCTTTTGATAAATTCTTGGCCTGAAGGTTTACAGGTATTGGAATTTTCTTCCTTTGGTAGAAGTGCCTTCCTATGTGCGAGGGCAAAAGTCGCCTAATTCTTTCATCAGTAAGAAAGACATCAAAACTATTCAGGAGGCGGAGCTTGGCCTCATAGGCTTTATATTCTGTTTTTAAAATTCGGAAAGGAATAATCCGAGAGATTGTTTTAATTCCATGCTTGTTCAAAAGCTTTTTATAGAAGCGTTCTGTCTGTTCAGCTGACTGGAGTTCATCCTCGGTAAATAAACAAATCTGATTGAATATTATGAGGCAAGGACAATCTGACTCTCAGTTCTTTTCCTGGAATTTTCCATAATATCACCATTAAGAAGAAATTTTCATTTTCATTCAAAAGCAATCCATTTTTGTTCTTCCTGGACTTAGAATGTGTCAACAAAGCTTCCACTGCCTTTCTAATCTGCTATTTGTCCAGCTGCTCCAGGGAGGTCAACTCAGCTGGAGTCGAGGTGGCGGCTGAAGGCGAATGTCCGGTGGAGGACGAGTCCTCCATTTCTGTATTGGTCTTTGTATGGGTATATATTTCATCCTTCTCGAAATTCAATTCCGGGGAATGGAATTTTTGGGTCATACAGTAAGTGTGTATTTAACTTTTTAAAGAAAGCGTGATATTGGCAAAAGAACAGACAAATAGCATAACAGAACAGAGAGAAGGGTCCAAAAATAAACCACACGTATATTCTTTTCAACAAATACAGGGAAAAACATAAACCTCCACCCACGTTACTGTTCACATCTTCCCCCAACACAAACATGGAAAATAAAATGGATCGTGGGCCTGAACGTAAAAGTTAAGACAATAGGGTTTACAGAAGACATCGTAGTAGGTGCTCTCTGCAACCTTGGCTTACCCAAAAGGACATAAAAAGAACATAAAGAACAGGACATAAAAGAAAAATGACTATGTCAAATGTTATCAAAATAAAAATTTACTATTAAAAATACACTGGGAGAAATCATTTTCCATATATATCTTTGAAAAAGAGGTTGGACCTAGAGTATCTATCAAACTCAGGACAGCCAAACCCATTCTAAAAGTGGAGAAAAAGCAAGGCGGGGTGGCAGATGCCGATAATCACAGCACATAGGAGGCTGAGGCAGGAGGATTGCCAGGCGTTCAATTCCAGCCTGGGCTACGTACCAAGACCCTGTCTCCAAAAAAATAAAAAATAAGAAATAAAAGAGGGGAAAAGACTTGGACAGATACAGAAAAGATATACAGATGATAATCACACAATCGATGTTAAATGCCAGTGTTTATCAGGGAAATGCAAATTAAAATCTCAATGGGAGATTGCCAACCAGGACTTTTGTTGGAAGACTACAACTCCTGAGACTGTCAGTTCTGAGTGCGGGAGTTTGGGGCAAGGAGACCCCCACTACCGCTGGTAGTACTGCAAAATTGTCACCTCTGCTTGTAAGTAGAAATGAGCATATTCAGGGCTGGAGATTTAGCTCAATGGTTCTGCTGCCTGCTTTGCAAGCGCAAGGTCCCGAGTTCGATCGCCGGTACCAAAAAAAAAAAAAAGAAATAAGCGTGTTCAGATAGATTATCTGTTCCCTTTGAGTTTTGACAGATTGTATCTTTCAAGAGATTTAATCTTAGAAATCAAACTTGTGGACAGAGAGTTGTTAATATTCCCATGTTATCCTTTCAGTGTCCATGGTATCAATAGAGATGGCCCCTCTTTTATTTCTGTTACTAATGACTTGCATTTCTTGCTTTTCCTTGGTTAGCCTATCTAGAGTTTTATCAATTTTATTGATCTCTTTAAAGAATCTTAGTTCCATTGATTTTCTCAAATTTTACCTGTTTTCAATTTCATAATTTTTGTTGTAATTTTTAGTGTTTCTTTTCTTCTGTTTAGATTTATATTGCTCCTTTCCCTCATTTCCTAAAATAGAAGTTATTGTTTTGTTGTTGTTTGCTTTTTGGGGGGTTGGTGCTGGAGGTTGAGTCCAGGGCCTTATGTGTCATAAGCATGTGCTCTACCACGGAGCTACATCCCCGACAGGAAGCTTAAATGCTTGATTTTAATCAAGGCTATTTGGAGTCCTATATGCCTCACTTATCTGTATGTCAAGTTCTGTTCCCCTGCTTGGGAAGTTTTCTGCCATCACTTCTGTGAACAGTTTTTTTTATGTCATCTGCACTCTCTCCTCTTTCTTCATTGAATCCAGTCAGTCTTATGTTATTCTTCTTTGCATCATCTAGCAGCTGCTGGATTGATTTCTCATGTTCCTTTACAATTTTAAAGCAATTTTTCTTTTCCTGGTCACTAATTGCAATCTTTTCTTCTATATCTGAAATTCTAGCCTCACATTGGTTCCTTCTGCTGTGCAGACTTTTGATGGAGTTTTTAATCTCTTGGAAATCTGTTTGTATCTGTTTTATGGATTCCATTTGTTTCCTATGTTGGGATTCCATCATGCTCCTCAGATCCTCTGTTTTTTATCTGTGTCCTCTCTAGATTTATTAATCATGTCTTGCACCATGAGCAATTTCTTTGCTGTTTTCTGAGTAATTATTTCTGATTTCATTTTTCCCAGATCCTCTTTTGTTGCCAGTTAAGAGAGTCCAGTTGGTTGAGTATCAGATTGTTCCATCTCGTTTCCCTTTGGGGTTGCTGTAGGTGATCCAGAAGTCTGTTTTTGAGGCTTGTTTACGTGTCTTCTCATTTCCACGGGGGGGGGGCAGGGGTGTGGTTCTGGCGCCTGCACAGCTCACCTTCTCTGCCCTAGGAGTTGGGATGGTGGCAGGGGAGCTTCCCTCTGGGTGCTGGGACCGGCTCAGCTTCTCTGCCCCAGGAGCCTGGGATGGTGGCGGGGGAGATTCCTTCCAGGTGCTGGGACTGGCTCAGCTTCTCTGCCCTAGGAGCCTGGGATGGTGGCGGGGGAGCTTCCCTCCGGGTGCTGGGACCAGCTCAGCTTCTCTCTTAAATGCTTGATTTTAGATGATAGCCCTGCATGGTGGCACAGAGCTGTAATCTCAGCTTTATAGGAGGCAGAGGCAGGCAGATTGCCACTATGAGCCCAGGACAGGCAACTTTGTGACTTTCTTTTCTACTATATGCATCCAATTCTATACATCTTTTTCCAAGTACTACTTTTATTCCATGCCATAAATTTTGATAAGTCATATTTTAATTTTCATTTAGTTCAAAATACGTTGAATTGTTTTGTAAGATTTTGTCTTTTATCTATATGTTTTTAAATCTCTCAATACTATGGGATTGTCTAGCTTTCTTTTTGTTAATGAGTCTCTAGTGCAAGTCCATTTTGGTCTGAGAGCGTAACTTCTACGATTTCTGCTACATGTGTTAAGTGTGTTTCATGTCCCAGAATGCTGTTGGTCTTGGCGATTGCTCTCTGTGAGCCTGAGGAGGTGTGGCCTGCTGCTGTTGGACAGATGTTCTGTAGATGTCAGTTAGATCCAGCCAATTGATGGTGCTGTGCAGTTCTGCTATGTTTTCTGCTGGTTTTCCACCTGCCAATCTGCCACATTACTGATACATGTTGAAGGCTCCAACCATTATAGTAAATTAGTCTATTTCTCCTTGCAGTTCTATCAGTTTTGCTGTGTGTGTGTGTGTGTGTGCGTGTGTGTGTGTTTTATGCTGTTAGCCATACACAAACATTAAGGATTGTTATTTCTCAAAGAATTGAGCCCTTTATA